TTTTTTTTTGAAAGAAAAATTTTTTTTTTTTTTTTTTTTTTTTTTTTTTGTAGCAAAGTGTATAATGTCGCTCTTATATGTACAAAGATAATGATCATTGTAAACTGTATAATATAACTAACAGTATTAAGAAAAATATATACGTATATAGAATTCTTTTCGCGCGCGCGTGTATTCTCGCGTTCGTATTCTTTATTTCTTGTATTAGATATTAAATTGATTTCAATAGTAAATATGCTATATGTATTTGTTATAGAAAATTCTACATTTTGCCACGGTATTTTTCGCCTGCATTTTATTATCGCAGATATTTCTCGTTATCAGTTTCGCATGTGATCTACTTGAATAGAATATTTAAATAACGATGCCGATATTTCTCTTATATCGATACGTTCTTGATCCTGCTTTACCGACCAATCGACACGCGTCTCGAAACATTTCGCGTCGACTTTGCGCGCAGTCGCGACGCGTATGCGCGTGACAGATCGTTCGCACACCGCTGCCCATATAAGGCAATTTCCCTACGTCCCTAACGGCGATTGGACCGCGTGACTGGCACGTCCGCGTCAATGACTAATTCCTCCCGAAACCTCCTCCACGCGATTCCCACGAATCGATTTCGCCTAGATAGGTACAACGGTGTGCCGGACCGGTCTCTCTCAGCGCCGGCTGTCAATCGATTTCTATGGTATTCGTCGCGCGATCTCATTGTTCGTATCGCGTCGGCGTGCACGATCGCGTCACGAACCTCGCGTACGACGCGATCCTCCCGTCCGCTTATTCGTCCACGTGTCGCGGAATAGGCTAGCGCGTTTCGAATGCCAAAGATTCGCGCGACGAGTACGACGAATACTTTTTTCGTCCCTTATTGTAATGCGCGCACGCAACCGCGAATTTTTGACGACGCTTGACGGGGCGCGGGCAACGCGACGCGGGCCAATCAGGGCCGCCGGCCGCGGCGGCGCTGCGCGCGCAGGCGTAGGGATACAGGATTCGCGGAGAGGAAAGAGCCGGCTGGTCGCGAGAGAGGAGCCTCCCTTCCCGTTCGCCCGTGAGCCAGCCGCGCGACCCATTCGACTGGACACCGCGCCGCTATCCAGTTCCACCACGGCCGAGATACTCCGGGAAAGTGTTGGTTAAAGAGTGCTCGTTCACGTGACTCTGCCCACCGGCTACACGGCTTCCTACGGAAAATGGTAAATATCCGCCGGCCAGGCCGATCGCGTATTAAGATTAACGGAGAGGAATCGGGGAGTACACGTCGATTAAACGCGAACGGCGACGCGAGACTCGGGCGAGGCCGCCCGCCCGGCACACGACGACTTTTTTTGTGGTTATGGCCGCAGCAGACGCGCCGGTCGGCCATTTCTGGCCTCGAGGGGTCCGGCAGTCCTCGCCGGATACGCCTCACTTTCTCAGCAACAGCGACCGGATGAATTTCGCATCGTCGTGGCGTTTACGCGTATTCTTCCTTCTTCCTCCACCCCCCCCCCCCCCCCCTCTCTCTGTCTCTCTCTCTCTCTCCTCCCGTCCTTCCTTCGCGTGCGGATTCCGCGACGGCGGATCCTGCCGACGTTTCCAGGAAGCGTATGATTCACTTCCACACGGTCGGCATGCCGACCGCGGCCCCCGACCATGGGCGATGATTCTTTCGCGTCATCGCGGCACCGTGGCGTGAGATCGCGCTTTCGTGCCTAGGCGACGACGACTCGTTCGTTTTCTCCGTCTTTTGCTATTTCGCTCTCTCTCTCTCTCTCTCTCTTCCTCAATTCCGTCTCTGTCGCCTCTTTCCTTTGCCTTTCCGAGCGGTACGCCCGGATCGTAATCGGTGCAATTCCGACGAGTTCGATCTTCTGAATGCGTAGCTGCGGAGAGATACCCTACGCCATGATCGCTATTCGCGTTATCGTTCGCGCAATAGAAACTTCGCCGGCCGTTTTTATAAATGTCGATTAAAGTTAACGTGTGATTTGGTTCTATATCCTTTTAATTCTGTCTTTTAGGAGGGAACAAATCACTCGCGTAAATCTCAATTTACACCGACATAAGAAATTTACATATATATATATATATTTATATATACATACACAATACCGTATTCAATGTTTATCTAAATTATTCCAAGATATTTTCGAACGTCGCGACCAAGATTGCCTCAATAACACGACGTACAAGGTAATGACTTGCCGCAACGGAATGCCAATTATTTGATTCGTCATAACTATAATCGTTAATGTCGCGTTTATGATACTTTGATAAACACAATTGAAACAACAATATATTTATCCGCTCGTTTTTTTTCCATTATCTATTATCGCGAAAAAAAAGCTGTGCGATTATATGCGCGCCCGGTTTCGAGGATATCGTCTGTGCCTCAATCTCGGATTAATATTTATCGCATGGCGCTGTATTACGAGCATAGCTTAAATTTAATCAATTTTTTTTTATTAGTAAGTTTATTTTCAGATAAATTGTATGAAAATTAAATTTTTTTTTTTTTTTTTTTAATATACAACTATCGTTCTCCAGTTGTTCTCTTTTGAAAAATTTCGTCTAGTAGGTACACTTGAATTTTTGTGAAAGTCTCTTTACTAAATTTAACGCCGCAAAATTTTGCCGTTTTAATATTTTCATTAATCAGAAAGCGAATAATTATGCATTGCGCAACAGGAACACTGCTCGCTCATTTTGACAAATTCACTAGACGCCATTCGACGAGTGACTACTGTACAGAGAGAGAGAGAGAGAGAGAGATTGCGTGAAAGAGAGAGAAAGAGAACTGTAGATACTTCCCCCCAACTAACAGCGTCGCTACTTGGTCCTACGTTCAATTGTAAACGCGTCATATGAAATCCGGTTTACGTTTCAACTACCTTTGTTTAAACTTTTTACTAAAAATTTATTTTGAAAGTTTTTTTTTATACTTTAAGACAAATTTATCTAAATTTATTTTATATATGCATCTTTGTGGAGTACAAAAATTTTTATTATGCGCGCTCCAGATTTTAAATAATAAAACTCTGCGAAAAGTTGCAAAGCATCGTTTCAAGATCGTGGAATCGCAATCGCAATCGGGATCTATCATTTTCGTTCGTTTGCGTAAAAAAGGAAGCGTTGCGTACACATTTATTTCGGTCAGCGCTTTAAATCACATGTCGTTGCTGACTATTTCTATTCGGATCGATTTGTTTCTGGCCCGTCAATGTTGCTTTTTTTTTTTTTTTTTTTTTTTTTTTTTTTTTTTTTTTTTTTTTTTTTTTTTTTTTTTTTTTTTTTTTTTTTTTTTTTTTTTTTTTTTTTTTTTTTTTTTTTTTTTTTTTTTTTTTTTTTTTTTTTTTTTTTTTTTTTTTTTTTTTTTTTTTTTTTTTTTTTTTTTTTTTTTTTTTTTTTTTTTTTTTTTTTTTTTTTGGGCCCTTTAATTTTTTTTTTTTTTTTTTTTTTTTTTTTTATTATTTTCCTCAAAGTTTATTACAAAAATTTACGATGACGAGATAATATTAATTTCCATTAACAGCAAGAGATTAAATCTTTTCTCGATTGCATCATGTTGCATTTGCAGGAGAAAAAGAGAGAGAAAGAGAGATATTCTTGCAGATATCAATTTCTATTGTCTCATCATTGTATGCCATTTGATCGTTTTATATTACTATAATCCACCTTTGAATCACATCGCGATCTATGAAAGATAACGCAGGAGCATGAAGAGCGAATCTAATTTTGATTTTATCAAATTAATTTCATTTGTAATACTATGATAAGAATTCCATTAGTGATAAAAGGTCAAGAATGTTACATATTTAACAAAAATTATATTATTTTTTTACTATTAAGTAAATGTTATTTATACAACATATTAAAGTTCGCGTTGAAAATTATCTTTCCAATGTGTATGTGTGTGCTAATGAAAATACTTGTTATTTTGTTATTATATTACTAAAGCAACCATGACACATTGACTGAGCTATTCTTTCGCATATTTCCCTGTAAAATCAAATCTACTAACCGTGACTGATGTAACGAGAGAAAAAAAAAAGAAAGAGTGAGCGCGAAATGGCAGAATAACGAGGCGACCGACGATAATGGAGCATCTACTTTATGTGTATTGCAAAAAGCTATAATATCGCGCATAAATACAGCGATGGTCACGTTCCTTTATCAAAACCACTTGCGGGCTTGCATGGTATATAAATAAAACTATGACTCGCATATTGGAGAGACGCGCGCGCTATCGGATCACCGTCACGACCATGCGATCCCCCATCCGTGCGATTAAGCACGACCTTAACCCTCTCGCAAATATGCATCCTTTTGCCAATCCTCCTCCTACGTAAGAATTTATGCGTTCGCAGAGCGATGACGTTGGCACGTCGCATAACGTGGTAATGTCAAATAAGGATCTATTTCTCGAATACACGAACGAAACTTTATATGAGAATCTTATGGCAAACACGTGCTTTCGACGATAATAATTTTCTGCATTTCCTGAAATGTAAATATGTAAATATTAAATCGTGTTTTGCTAAAAGCTTTACGAAATTTTTATAATATAAAAAGGTACTTATTTAGTATGTGCACTTGTACAA